GAGCAGGATGCAGGAACACAGGGGTCAGGATCAGAGGCAGATGAACCAGCAGGGTTCTGCTCAGGCCTTGGCCTCTGCAGGATTGAGACGGACAGAAGGGTCCGAGATGGAAGAAGGGTCGAGACCCTCGTGATCCGTCGGCTTTTATACCGAGTATGACATATGTGGGATGGAATACCTAGTTGGTCAGTTTTGGGTCCACTTCCACCCCATAGGCACAGACATGGCACCCATGATGAGACAAACTGACCTTGAGCATATCTTCTAGCAGTACTGTCTGGAAAAACATACTGCTAGTTTTCAGCAAGTTCAGCCACTTAAAAGAGACTGAGCTGAAAGGTAAAACCACTAAATAGAAAATTAATTCTATTTAGCTCAAACCAGGACAAGATGCATCTTCAATGAAATTCAGTTTTGGTTTTTTGTTTTGTTTTTGAGAGAGGAAATCCTGCTATTGTTTAAACATCATTGTGAAACTTCTGGGCAGATATGTGTGAAATTAATACTACATGTGCATTATGCATGTTTCTCAGTTTTTCAGCTGTATTGCAAGAAAATGGTGAAATACCACTTTAGCATTGCTTAGTGGCAATGAATGTGCATGATGTATCCGTGTCATTCAACACTAGATGCTACTTTTGTTGTCTTCATGACTAGTCGTGTCTTCTCTTGGAAATGGCTATAATGATTTATCTGGCTTGGGATACTTGTGGATGTTCATTGGAGCAGAATTGTAATGCCGGAGATTCTGCAGCTTGAGAAAACAAGGATTTCAGAAGCTGTGTTGTTTTCAGTAGTAGTAAGAGTGGTCATTATCTCTTAAAAATTGTCTAGAGAAATATATAGATTGAAAGCCATTATATTTTTCTGTATCCTGGAATTTCAATATCCATCAATTAAAGCAAAAGAAGTAATTGCTACTGGTTTCATTGGGAAGCAGTAATGAAGATTACAAGAAGTCTTTTTTAATTGATGCAGTTTTAATGTTAGTCTGTAAAACAGACTTAAAGCCAAGATCTTCATTTGTAGGCAGAAGAATTCTTCTCTTTACATCTTTGTTCTGAAAGGAAGACAGTCTCAAATGAAAAGCTTAGCGAACAATGCTGTGTGGCTCTTGGGTGGAAGAAGATGCTGAGCCCTGAGCCCGTATCCTTATTCATGTCCCTGAGGATGAATCATTTTCAGGAGTTACCCAAATAGGCAGGAGTTAAGGTCAAGTGACACATGAAGCTAAAACCCTTATTCTGCATAAGATCTGTAGACTTCAGGTCATGCAATGAGATCAGTGTGGGTTTCCAAATCTTCCACAGTTGCCTGCTGGAGTCAACAGTGAAGCTTTCTGCATCTCAGCTGTCAAGGCTGGTGATCCTGTTAAAGCATAGGAATTTCTAGCTCAGCCACAGGGACCTAGTCTCACTCCAGCTTTTACGTCCATAATCTTGTCTCACCGCAGTGAGAATGTGGGCAGCACATGCATTTAGTCCCAAACAGTAAGAAATACGTGTGGATTCCTTGATCTGAAAGTAGTGTGAGTGCAGGTGCCAACTCTAAATACCTAAATTACACCGTTTCTCAGTGGAACAGCTAACAGATTAATGTTCCTGCATTTCACATGTACTTGTTGAGCTTCAAGTGAATGCTTTTATGTAGCAGCTTTTAAGGAGTCTGCCTGAAGAACCGTTGTGAAATGTAAAGCCTTATATCTGAGGACCCGCAGAAAGCATCTTCAACATGGACCAATTTCCACAGTTATGCACTGTCCCCTCCTAGCATGTTACTCAGTGATCCTGGCAGCAGAGTCGGTATTTTCCCATGACAGCTCTGAAGAACTTTCAGCCCACAAATCCAGTATTGTGCTTCATCATAGCTGCAACTGTACTAATAAATAAAACACTGTCAGTCACTGTTACTTTTGAGGCCAACAGGCCTGAGACTGCCTGCTTCCATTGCTAGCAAAATCTTTTACCTCCCAAAATGGGGTAGACGCATCCAAAGTGGGAGTTACTCGTGGTTGATACTCATTCCCAGACAGCAGCCATGAGTTATTTGAGAAAGTGTTGTTTGAAACAGATCAAAACTATTCTAGGAACTGTTACCACAATGTAGATGGCTGAGTTCCCATGCTAAGAGTATTGCCTGGTGCTATTAAGCATACTGGTATGGGAGTAACCTATTTTAATTAGCAGGCCAAAAGGCTTGTTCCCAGCAGTGTAATGGGAAACAGGGCAACTGAGAAAGACAAAACACCCTCATAAGATCACTCCAGCCTAACCAGTGCTTCTGAATAGCTCTCTTTACTTCAGCCTGATACTTAGGGGTAGTAAGAGATCCGGTTAGCAGCCTGTTAGCAGCACAGGAGAGTGCCATCTTGGTTTGCCTAAATTTTGTATCTGCTTTTGCTTGGCTGATTTGAAGGATATCAAGGTGCTGCTGTTTTCAAATTAACTTCTTCAGCTCATGCTCTTCTTTCTTTAATATTAATTCATTTAGAGGAACACGTTTTATTAGCATCTTTGATTAGCCCTTGAAGTTTTAGCAAGCAAGAGAGATGTTGTTCCAGCTGTCTGAATGTAGAACACCTATGGACACTTTGATATGCTGATTTCCTTCTGGAGATAAAACCTTCCTCTCTGGAACATTAATTGGACTGTCATCTCTATGAATTCCCCCTTTCCCTGCAGCATAGCTTATGCTGTGCTCTGTTTTGTTATGACTTTAGGTTTAATATTAGGAAAAATACCATTTAGACAATATTTTGAAAGTCTGGGAACTCCAGATACACTGCTGGGTTTCCATAGAGATGATACACAAGAAATTAGCATATATGACTGACTTGATTGAGTTTGTCTTTAGTCAAGCTTGGAAACCTGAGTCCCTTTCTTGTGATAGGAACACTTTATTAATGTATTACTTGATTTAGTGTATTCAAAGGCAGTGCAGTCTTCCTGAGAAACCTTACTCACTTCTGCTCTTGTAATCGTCTTTTCTAATACCAAAACTGAGTTAGCTTTTCATGTATCAGTGTGCTGATACAGGGAAGGCAGTATCTTAACCCTCCATCCATTCTTTATGCTAATGGCAATTGCCACATACTCCATGTCATTCTTTTGCCATCCACAAGGAATTAAGACATGCAGCTATACCCCCAAATTGCCAGATATTTCTTTACAGAGCTACAACCTTTTCAAATATATTGTAGACTTTCTGTAGGAGTTCTTAGTTTTTCTACTGCAGACATAAATTATTATTTTAGCAATTTTAACATAGATAGAGAAACACAGATTCTGCAATTTAAAGCTTTGAGTTCCCAAAATTATTGTGTGCATTTTCACCACTCAACCACTCATCTTTCATGGAAAAAAAAGTGTACTTTAAATTTGGGTAAGCAAAGACTATTAATTCAGTTAACTTTGGTATACACGAGCTTTGTAGATCAGGTTGCACTTGGCTTATTCTGTGTTGTGCCTTGTTTGAGATCCATCTGAACTGGACTGGTAACAGAAAAAAGGGAGCAAACTGGGAATGCTGAGACTCTGAAAGCATGTCTTGCTACAATGGGAGAGAGTACTCTGTACCTTAAGTGGTAACACAGTTTTTTATTGCTTAGGGCAGCACAAAAGAACTTGAGGGTTCTTGTTCTTTTTCCCCATTTCTCCTTAAGATATCCACTGACCAGCAGGACATTTTCGAAAAATGCATCTACTCTCTGTTTCAGATCATGGACTCATATAATCATCAAATGGTTTAGGTTGGAAGGAACCTTAAGGATCATCTGGCCCAACCACCCCTGCTATGGGCAGGGACACCTCCCACCAGACCAGATTGCCCAAAGCCCTGTCCAACCTGGCCTTGAACACTTCCAGGGAAGGGGCATCCACAGCTTCCCTGGGCAACCTGTGCCAGTGTCTCATCACCCTCACAGTAAAGAATTTCTTCCTTCTAGTCTAAATCTACCCTGTTCCAGGGTAGATTATGGAGTGAAAGACAAAAACACACTTGGTAGTCTGTTTCAGCCATTAGTCATCATCACTCTTGGGCAGTCAAGGCTTTTTCTCCAAGGTTATGTCTTTGGTGGTGCCATCTTCTCCCCCACAGAGCTAGCTGATTAACCTGTCAGCAGAGTAAATTTTTGTGTTTAATGCCTCTTGAAGCACTCTTTCTGCTCTCACTTCAGTACTTTCATGCTTTTCAAAGCTGTGTACGGAAATAAAATTGCCTTTTTCCTCTAACTCTCATCCTTTGTGCAAAGCCTTGAATAGATATGCCTGGATCTGCTTGTTAGGAAACTGATTTCTGATCACAGCCCTGAAGCTCCTATTCTCAATATTTGTTTATGTTGTTGCTTGTGTCTTTGTTTAACTGTGCTTGGTTGAAACTGGGAGCCAAGTGGTGGTGCTTTGAAAATACAGTTTATAAGTGATGCAACTGGAAAAATAAAATTGCCTTTGCCAGAATAAGAAATGACAATGTTGTGCAATTCTGCTTCAAATAAAGACAAGCTTTTTTTTTTCAATGCTATGAAATGCTTCAAAGTCTTGCTGCTTGATTAAGTAATCTGTTGTAAGAATTCATTATATTAACCATGAAGGAAAATTCCTTAAAATAATCTTTTAAGTTGCTTATCTGAGATTCATGGATCTGGTAGAAGGATTTGCAACAATTCAGTGAAACAGTTGCATCCTGATGAAGTCCAGTGAGAGTCTGTGTTTTAGGAGGAGGAAATGAGGAAAGAAAGCATAGGCATGGTAGACCCTAAATATGCAAATTCCAATAACAGTTTTCTTAAAAATTACTCTCAGCAAATGGCTTATCTACAACATAGGTTCTGTATCCTCTGTCCATTTCATTCTGTCTGTCTCCATAACCCTTTGTTCCACCTGTGATGTTTTTCAGCAGTCACATAATAAAATGTCTAGGCTAGATTCCAAGGGTGAAATAAAAAGCTGTATTTATTTTTATGGAAGCACTAACAATTCTATTTGGATTGGATTTCTTTGTAGCAAAACCAATGAATTATTGAACAGATTGGACTTGGGTTTGCCAAAGAGTGATTCCTGTCAGATTGCTAATCGTGGCCCAGAATCTACAGCATGGGTAAGCAAAACCATGGCATGTGCACTATTTTCTGTCAGCTTTCCAGATGCTGTCAATAGTATAACATTAGAATATTCTAATTGGTCTTAATTGCCTGGACATAACACAGTGAGTACCAAGGAGTCTTTCTGGGTGACTGAGGTTGCCTATGTAGTCTCTTTTACCCTGGCAGAGCATCCTGCATAGTAGGGGACTGCTTTATTACTTACATATCTGTCTCCGAGAAATGAGAGCCAGATCTGTTTTCTAAGGTGAGATCAGAATCTTAAATGTGCTCTGTACCCATCAATTGGTGGCAAGCTTTTATGAAATCTCAACTAGTCCATCTCAGTGGATGCTTTACTGCATTGAAAATCTAGTATGAGGAGAACCTTATTTCTCACTGCATCCTAAAAGTGATTCCATGGACTGCTTGGGGATTTTGTCCCCATCTGAATGAGCCTGGTAAGTATCAATGTAATTAGGAAATAGATAAAGTATTGCTTAAGTTTCATTATTCTAATTGCCTCAGAAAGGCTTTTTCACATATGACTAGTCTCTTCATGTCTAACCCAAGCTTTCCTACTGATGTAAAAATTTACAGTGAGGAATATTAACCCTGAGACAGAAGTATTTCTCCCTTAGGAAGGTTTGTAATTGAGGGAAGACAGAGAGCAGGCAGCCAAAAACCTTTGTTACAAGAAATGGTCCTTAGTCAGCAGAAACTTGGAAGTATCTAATCTGGGAAACCGTCTGTTATGTACAATCTTGGACACCAACAGTTGAGTAAAGAGAGGGAAAGATTTACCACCATATTTCCTCAGAAGCCTTGGAAATGCTCAAAGACCCTCCCATTATTAAAACTGTTGCAACCAGAATATATGACAGCTCTGTCTTGCTTCTCGTATCTCTTTCCTGGTTTTCAGCCGCATGAAAAAGGAAGGTGATATTGAATGTAGCTTCCTTTCCCCTTTGATTCCTCTGGTCATTTTGTGTCTCTGAAAACCATAAAGAAATCTTAGTGTATGTGGGCAGATTTGTAGCTTGAAGGAGCCAACTCCTGCCCAGCATTGCTGAACAGAAGGTCAATTGCAGAAGAGTAGCTTTCAAACTCTCTTTTGTAGTCTTGAGTGGGCAAGACTATGGGAAGTGAAAAGAGATGTCTTGAAACCACTTCTACCTCCTTCTCAAAGCATTTGATGCTCCAAACAGTGGGGAACTTCACAGAATCACAGAATCACAACTTGTTCTTTGGTAGTGAAAACCAAGCTCTGCAGCTTTTCATATGGTGTGAACATTGAACTGTGAAGACAAATGAGCTCATGTCCCCAGGACTGACTTGGATTTCAGCATTTTATTGTGATGTCTTCATATCTGTACAGAAGTGAGCAATGGCTCAAGGAACATTGAATTTTTTCAGGCATACAGGTCCTACTTTTAGCCTTTGCCTTCTACTTCACTTACCTATGTGTGCCTTTCTCGTTCTAGTTTTCTTAATAAATTATGCCAAATTACATACAATAGGTTGTCTTCAGCTTCACAAGTATCCAAACAGATAAAGTACATAGTTTATCTCTACTGGTTTTTATTAATACCAGCTGATGTTCTACATGCCTTTGGTGTGGCAGCATTTCTATAGCTATTCATCACTTGCTTGTAATGGAGCAATGCAATTAGCAAAATGTCTTCCCAACCACCTTGGATGAGGCACAGTCTATAGGCACAGCCTCTGTGCTCTGTGTAAGGAATCTGAATCACATAACCAATGAGTTGTTTTCCAAATAAACTTGGCGTAGTATGAAACGCTAACCATTGGAACAACTTGGACTCTAATTTTGATTTTATTTTGGACCTTTCCTTTGTATGAACTAATTAAAAAATTCAGGAACAGTCTGTTTGAAATAGTGAAGTGTGATAAGCTTAGGACATGCCTGACATACATGTTAAAAGGGGAGCATATGTATATGTGATTTTTTAAAATTTTAAATTCATGTTCTAAAAAATGTTCGGGGCAATGTAATATTGATGGAAATTTTTCCCTCACATAATTTCTTTGATAGTGATATTAATTTAGCACACCTAATTAAAATATCAGTGTCAAATATTATTTGATGTGCGTGAACAGATTTGACTTCTTTGGAGCAACTCTGTCATCGGTGACTTTTTTGGCCCACTTATTTAATCAAGCTCATAATTAATTTTAATCCTGTCTTTCAAAGTGTTTCCAATCCTGTGTAGATTTTTATTGTCTTCCAACTTGATTAACATACACTTCACACAATTCTCCAAGCCATTACAGAGTGTAATGAATAATATTGGACCCAGAATGAGTCTCCCTGGACACATGTAACAATTCCTCCCAACTCAAAATTGAGCTATTAATAATTGCTTTCTCTATTCAGTCTTTTTAGCAAATTATGTGCCTGTCATTTTAATGGTGTCATTCTGCATGTATATATCAAGTTTCGAGAACATTGTGTAGACCTGCAACAAATTTCTCACTAAAGTCAAACCTGCACATTTCTTGTGTTAAATTATACTGGCTTATTATTCAGTGTGCTACACTCTGTCCCTGCTCAAAGACTTTACAGTATAAGTTCCTCTGTATAAGATCCTAAGGATCCTATAAGATCCTAATGGTAGGCTGGCTCCTTGCTAAGAACTACAACTTGTGGAAGACCACAACTAGTTATTGTAATGAAAACCTACACAGATGAATACTTTTTTCATTATTTATAGTTCAGATTTTTGTTCAGATTTCGTTCAGACTGCCCCACAAATACTACAGCAGACGATCTCTCAGCTTCTGTTGCCCTACCTCCACTAATGCCTTTCCAATACTCTTGTGGAAACAATCCTGGGTTCCCCTCTGTTGCCACACCTCCCTTCTGCTTTGTTATCTTGGTAATATTTTCAGTACTTTTCTTTCTTCCCATAATACCCCATCTCACTACCACATATCCTGATTATGTTTTCGGATTACTCATGGTATCTTTATGCTTGCCACTGGGACAAGTATGTGTTATGGCTTCCTTGTTCTGGTCTGCAGACGGACATTCAGCCAAATCAAATGACCAAGAGGCTTTAGACCACTTCTTGTTTAAATTCTGGTCTTGAGACTAATCTGTTTTTTAAGTAACTGGAATCATTCAGCCATTTCTGTTTTGTTAATTACCTGTATAAAAATTTAGGAATAAGGTTTGGGATTGTGGTGTCCCCCTCCACACACACAAATATGTTTATATTCTCTGCTGAACAATAGACTAGGAACCATACTTACAAGCAAGCTCTTCAAGAGGATGAAAACAGAAGATTAGAGGAAATGAAGCAAGAAAACGGAGTAAGGTAATTATATGTTAACAGTTTGCATATTGCATCATTTTTACATGCTGTGAAACCAATTAAATACATTGATTACTCGTAGCCTATGCACAGAGCTTCTCTTAAGCAAAAGTGATTTAGTCACTGTTTTCAAATATTGCAAGAGAGATGAGCCAAGCTGTAAAATTTGGACAGGGACAGGGGAATTATCTTCTGAGCTGAAGGCTATTGCCATCTGGATGACTAGCTCCTGCTCGCCCCTCCATTTGAACAATTGTGCAGAGCATCTTTTGACCATGATACCTGATTTTATAGGCTAAGAAAACCAATGTCCTCTCTTTCAGACAGTAGTAATCTTACTGAGATATTAATGATGATCTCAGACTCTGAATGGTCTTTCCAGAGAATCAAGGCCCATGTGCCCTACCTTCCCAAATGTGGATGTGGAAGCACTCAGATTTGGTGATGGCAAGGTGATAGCATAGTTCTGTGTTGTCTTTCTTGGCTCCAGGTCTGACTGTGCAAGCATGGGGAGGGCAGCATTGGCTGCAAGTAATTTGAAAACATATTAGCAAATACTGAGCCTCTTGCTGTTCCTCTCCTGTTACTAACATCCAAATTCATGTTAAACTACTTCCCCAGAAGCAGAATCTTAGTACAACAAATTCTGCACAGTGACTTTCTACGAGAGCTGGACAAGTAACTCAGCCTCTTTTATGGATATCTTTCTTTAAAAATTGGGGATAAATGTCCTCATTTCATAGTATTCTAGCAACCAGGATGCTGGAAACAAAAACGTGGGGGAAAAGGAGGCTTTTTATTTGGTTTCCATTAAGTATATGCTTATTCCCAGGAACTCTATACAGAGAAAAAATCTTTGAAGGCTAGGCCTGGCAGATGTGAGGCCTGTAGCTCTTATGCTTTTTACATTTCTTCCTCTATGGAGAATATAACTATAGATGTGAATTAGCATTTATGAATTTGGTTTCGGAACCTCACATAGAGCTTTAGACTCTAACAATTTAAACAGAGAACTGCTGGGTAAGCTTAGG